TAGGTGGTAGAACGTTAAGTTAATTCACTTGTTATTATTTTTGGCTAAATATGCTTTTAAATAAAGCGTATTCTTAAATTTTAACGAGTCAGTTTAAATAATTTTGCATATGGTACTGTACACTTTTGTCTAGTTCTCGATCGATGATCGGTGGAGAAATTAGCTCCGCAGACAAATATGATTGAATTTGGAATTATGCTACGGCGCATCCTAATAAAGGGAAGGAGCATATCTCTACCTTCTTGAAACGAACAGTACACGTATGTTTTGAGTAAGCCATTTAGCTAGACCCGTTAGGCCAAGCATCAGGAACCACCAAGTATTGTCCTTCCGAGTTCTTGTTATCCTGTTACTAACTGCTTGTGTTTTTAGCAAACAGAGATTATAATATAATTTCAACAGTCGAGAGTTTATCTTCAATATTATCATTAGGAAGTTTCACATGTTAATTTAACTTTAATAAAATAGGTACCTTTTCATTATCACAATAGAGTTTGAAATTTCCAATGAGCAGATTATATGAAAGTTGTTTTAATGCATAAAACATACCTAGGAGTATTCATTAAAAGCTTTTAGTATAGAGTACTGAAAATGACATGGAAATTTTGTGTATTTAACTAAGAAGTGTCATACAAGTTAAATAATAATAGCTATTGTAGTAAAACTGGTAGTGTTTTCAGGGCGAAGCCTGGCAAATGCAGTTGTTTTAGTTAAATTTTAATATTCTTTTTTAGTCGTTAGAGATAGATTTGCTTATCATTATTCAACCTATTTTATTTTATTATATAGGAATTTTCCATGATTTATAATCGATGCTCTTCAATTGTACGCAGGTTACAGGAATTTCATAGCTCGAGGCAGTAATACCTTCTTGGGGTTTTCACTTTATTGGCTTCTGGCTCGTATTCTTTTGTTGCATACCACGTATTGGTGGTGGCACCAGAACAATTTTTGCTTCTGTCACATAATTTAGACTTAGTTACGGTTTGCCCTTCTTCTTGTTAACTTGCGTTTTTAATTCATATTTTCTTTGTTGTGCATGTAGTTGTAATCCGTTATTTCATAGTCTGTATATACTGTTTTATATCGAGTTTGCGATTCGCTCTGTTAAAACCAACATTTTGAGAAAATACTGCTCGTGATTTTACGGCAAACAGCAGGCGATTGCTGGAAATTATTAGCTGATATCAGATTATGGAATTAGATACTGATTTTGTACTTACAGAATTATTCTCGATTTAATCGCTCAACCAACTCATCAAAGTTGAAAGCTTCCACAGTATGGAAACATGATTTTTCCTAAAACAATATACTTGTAAAAAACACATAGACAAAACAGCCAAATTTCTACCTCTGATTAAAAGACAAAAGGCTATTGAGACCCTTAAAAAAAACAACTTCATTCTACCTTGGAAGCAAATTGTTCTTCTGTAGTTATCTCTTTAAATCTTCAATGTAGTAGATAGTATTGTGTAGATGAGCGATTAGTTTTTCTGAGTTTGACTACCTATATTATGAGTAGTGTTCTCTTGTATGTCTGTTTCTTTAGATGTTCAGTTTTTGTAAGTTAGGTACATAATATTATAATACATGGCTATATAATAAGATATGAAAGGGACATTAAAAGAATGGAAGCAATAATCTTTAGGTTAACTTTAAATTATATTTAAAAAAATATTAGCTTTGTTCGATAATAGATATCCTACGATTTGCATGATGAAAATCTTAAATGTAACTGGTATTAACAAATGAAGATATGCTTCTTTGAGGTAATCAATAAGGCCATCTCTATGAATGGGTTGACGACACTGCACCAAAATCGCCCCTTAGAGAGCGAACCACTTTATCCATATACAGCGGAAGAGTAAAGGTACCTACGACCGTTTAACTTAATCTCCCTCAGTAACTTGTAGCGTAGCCCCTGCCTAATAATTTGTGTTTTATACTTATTGTTGTTTGTTTGTCATTAAAGTCTTTCAGCATAAGTTGACTTGACAATGGTTTTGCTGGATGTACAATTATATAGGGAAAATAAGATTTTTGATGGTAAACCTCTCCTACACCAATCGATCCCCTCGCTACTACAATATGTATAGTGATAATACTTTTTATGGTAATGAATAAATTATAAACAGCGCTTTCTGATAATTTTTGCCTAAAATATTGTGTCTAATTTATGGGGTATTTTATAATAAAAATGTACTTGGCACATGTATAGCTTGAAAAGTTTTAATCGCAGTACCTACAACTTAACAACTTAAACTGCATCGATATTCGAGTGGTGGAACTTCAAGAACTCGGAGATTGTGCTAGGCCAAATGTTCCTTTGCAGCATGCTGCCTGCCCTGAAGCCTGCACATACAATATATGCTTCTAAATTGGCATAAGTGATTTAGATTGTGAATAACTTTATTATGACTATTACAACATTGCCTCCGCGGAATTTTGAAGAGAAGGTAAATACGTCAATTTGAACACGCATATACATGGCGTTTCGGAAACTTTAGATATGTTTCTAACTTTTTAATTTATTTAGGAAACAGAAAATATCACAAATGGCGCGGTAAAGGCCACCTGTAGTACGATGCTACATTTTAGGATTATCTACTTGCTGAAACGAATCCAGGCGTACCTAACCTCAACGTGATAGGCACGTTACCATAATCGAATCAAATAATTCGAAGTGGTCTGTATTCTGTCGAAACTGCCAGACGCGGATCGCGATTTCGATCTTTTTGGATCTCATCAGCGCATCGCAGACAGCTCCGGATCGATCGCGAGCCGCGTCTGACAGTTTCGACAGAATACAGACCACGTCGAATTATTTTATTATTTAGGAAACGTTTATACCGCGAGGTGTACAGGGATCGCTCAGGTGAGAGGAGTCAAGCTTCTCCTCAATTGGTAAACTGGAGGTCTACGCAATTGCCAAAAAAACATGATGAGCAAACATGAATCGCGTCAATGCTTAATCTCTAGACGTGTGAAGCTGAGTCTCAAAACACATTATGAGCACGAAGCTTTTTTTGCTTATCGTTATTTCTCTTCAAAGATCCCAATCCTTTATCCCAATGACTTGGGTTACCTGATCTCTTGATCGAATGGTTAGAGGTTAATCAGTGATTCTCAACCACCGTGCCTTGGTACTTTACTGTCTCGCGAGATTCTTAAAGTGTGGCGCCATATATTTTTCGGACGCATACAGTAAAATAGCGAAGGAGACTTTTGGAGAATGCATTTTGGTGCCTGGTTATGCATCCAAAACTTAAAACTTTTGGGTGTTTCATTCCCACCAGCCAGTAATGCTGGTGGGCGGGCAGTCCCTCCGGACTATGCCGGAAGGTAGGGCGGAAGGCCCTCTTCAGTCTGCTTTCAGGAATCGTGGGAATGGGTGGATGGTGGTTCGGGTGAGAAAGATGAGACGGACGAAATGAAGACAGAAGAGAATGAAAGATTATCTGTGGAATATATTACTGCCTCAGCATTTGCCTAAGTGGTCCAAGGAAACCACAGAAAAACTTGGACCAAGGCAGACGGACCCGGAATCGAACCGGCGTCCTAGGCCATGCCGATCGGTTATGCATCCAGAAGAAATCCGAAATATATAGTGGTATAGCCTACGTCCATGATTCCTAACCTGGGGGTAATAACCCCCGCAGGGTTAAAACATGTATTTCGGAGGGGTGACAATGAGCCGGTTGTTGTCTCGAACGCCGAATTTCAAAATGACAAGTCTGAGCGCCGATAATCAATATTTTAATATTGCAAAATAAAGTAGCAAGCTTTATTCGCAAATTGGAACTATACAAACGTAGAGTTTAGGTTGGCGATATAGCCATGTTTGTGAGCAACTGGAAAACGATAAAGCTGACAAGATTAAATTTGAAGATTCCGTGCTACAGCATTTGTCATCAGTAATAAGCTCATTGCAAAAATATTTCGAGGACAAGGATAACCGCCAGTCCAACTCTTGGGTATTGAGACCGTTTTTGACTGATGATAATATTTTTAAGGATAAAGATGTGTCAGCTAAAGTAGAATTTCTTGGACCACGTGCGGATTGCACTTTAAAAATCGAATCCCAAAATTATGACCTATGTACATTTTGGAAAAAAGTAGCTGCTGAATATCCTATCATAGCAGACAGAGCTTTAAAAATGTTAGTACCGTTTGCTACTACTTACAGGTATGAGAGTGGTTTCTCAACTTTGGTGACACTAAAAACGAAGGGCAGAAATCGTTTCAATGTGGAACACGGTTTGAGATGCGCTTTAAATGAGATAAAACCTAACATTACCAAACTTGTAAATGCGAAGCAGTATCAACCTTCTTACTAAAATGTATAAATTTGTAATAAGTTTTAGAAATTACCTAGCTTAAACCTAGCTTATAACTGTAATTTAGAGTAAAAATATCTAAATTTTTTATGTGCAATTGTTTTTATGTTTAATAAAGTCTACGTATTTGTATTAACGCGTATTGTTTGACTTCAAGGTTGGAAGGAGGGGTAAAATCAGTGACCCTAGTTAGCTCATAAGGGTAACAGACTTAAAAAGGTTAAGAACCACTGGCCTACGTATAGAATTGATAAGGAGATGTACCCCCTCATTTCATCCTATCCCAATGGCCGATATACAGCAGTGTTGCGTTAGTTTTTGAAAGAATTCAAAGAATTACGTCCGGGCGTCCGTTTTTACGATCATAATAGCGTAAATAGGACGCACGTACGTGCCCGGAAATAATTTTCCTCTAAATACGAATAGTTTTCTTATGCTGCTAATATATTTAGTCCCATTTAGTTGCCGTAGTCGCCCTTTGGTGTTGACGTGTGTACAGTAGAGCTTATTATTTATGAATTAAATCAAATTAAATGTAGTTTGTAATTTATCATTGAATTTTTTCTTTTTTCTTTACTTTGTAATTCTATTTTACTTTATATTCCACTGAAAATTATTATCGTCTGCTATTTTTATTTTTTTTTTATGTGGTGTTATAGGCGAATGATGAGGATAACGTGGGTAGAAAAGGTTAGAAATGAAAAGGTAATAGAAAGAATAGGAAAACAGAGGGCTCTATGGAAGTCAATAAAAAATAGGCGAGATCGGTTGGTAAGACACCTTCTCAGGCATGAAGGTCTAGTCAGAGACATATTAGAGGCAGAAACAGGAGTTAGGAGGGGTAGAGGTAGACGTAGATTAGATTACTGTTCACAAATAGTTAAGAATATGTAGCTTATTCTAGTTTTAGGGAAATGCGAAGTTTAGCTCAGGTTAGGAAAAAGTGGAGGTACGTGTCCAACCAGTCTTAACACTGACGACCCTATGATGATGATGATTATAGGTATAACAGTTGTTTAACTATGTTTTTTAATTTATATAATTGTTAGTGTGCCTTCAAATTTTTAAATTGTTAAAAATGTTCCGTGACGAAAAGAAGGTTGAGAATGACTGGGTTAGACCATTGATTGCTTAGCATTCGTGAGGACACCGGTTCGATTTCGGGCCCGTTTGCCCTAGTTTAAATTTTGTATGTGGTTTCCTGGGATCATTTAGGCGAATGCTAGGGCAGTATATTCCACAGATAATCTTTCATTCTCTTCTGCCTTCATTTCGTCCTTCTATTTTTTTTCAACCACCACCCACTCATTCCCATAGTTCCATCCTTCCACCCTACTCTCTGGCTTTGCCCAAAACTAGACACCAGAGTGTAAGTCGAAAGGACTATACCCACCCACCAGCATTAATAGCTGGTGGGAATTAAACAGGCTAAAGTATTTTTCAAATATTCTGCCTGCGTTAATGGGATTTTTCTTAAGAACGTACTTATTGAAACTACCATTATCAGATGCAGATGGTGCAGTGTACTGCACTTACCTTATGCAATTTTTAGCAGGCAATTTATTCATTCAAGTTATTTTCATATCTATTGAGAATAGAATCGTGCTTTACAAAACATCATCGGCATTCAGCTTGTGAATTCCTAAACACTAGATGGAAACTCAACATTAAAATTGTCGATTCGGAAGTTGAACGCCAGATGCAGATTAATTTAACAAGAACTGAAATTTATAGAAATGCAATCCACACAAAATAAGTACATATACATGTCTATTAGGGTGCTTCAAACGAAATTTTTAATTTTTTTTCTAACTCTTACCCCATCAAATGTCTCTATTTGATGTAAAAAAAATCCTCGCCAAACATGAGCCCTATAGCTCAAATCTAAGGGGTCGCTATTTTTATTTTAGTTTCCCATTTAATTAATACTGTGATTTAAATCAAGGTAGATATTCAATTTAG